ACGACCGCATTCACGGAAGAAAAATTGACACACCTCAACAAAGGGCTAGGATATGCGATTACAACCAAGCCAGACTTAGAGCAGATCATCATTGACGTGTAGACAGCGATTACCAAGACACTTCCAACATCATCACAGAATACGGACAGGACTATCACATCGAACATAATCAAGGACGGACAGGAACAAAGTCGCAGCAACGAAAAGGCAATTCGAATTGTAAATGAACTGAAAACTAAAGCAGTATATTATATGAAAACAGACAAGGGCAACGCGGTCGTTGTCATGGACAAGGGCGATTACGACAATCAGATGACAACGAAGATTTACAACTAGCTGCGCCGGTGGTGTAGTGGTAAGCGTGATTGCCTCTCACCCCAGCAGGCCTGGGTTCAATCCCAGTCGGCGCCGCCGGGATGTTCTGAGGCATAACATCTCTGATCACGCCTTCCTTCGGAAGGGAAGTAAAGCCGTTGGTCCCCGGTTCATGAGTTGATGGGTCGATAGGTAGGGTCCAGGTGTGGGAGCTGCCTTCCTGGCGTCGGTAGCATTGGTGCTCAGCACGGAAAACAAGATCGACGGAAAACAAATCCAAGGAAAATAAAAAAAAAGAAGATTTACAACGGACCGTATAGGCAGCTTCGAGTAGGCCCCTTACAGAGCATGGAGAAACACGTGGAGAAAACACTGAAGGAGTGTAAATCACTATTAGGAGATGGAGCAGGTCATTTACGGGAATCCAATCCCAGGATCAAAGGTCTCCCCATAATCCACAAACCAAGGAATGAAATGCGAGATATCGAGTGTGCTGTTGGTTCCCCTACCCTGTTTAGGTAGGAATGGAATGTGGCAAGTGTGAGTCGGGGGTAGTGGTAAACGATCTGCCGTTAACCTGTAGTGGTAAGTGTTCTCGTGTGTTCCACATGAGATGCACTACACTTACAAGGAGTACAGCAAAGTCGATATTTTTAGTTTAATCATGCATTATTTTAAGAATGAGAGCCTATTGCTAAACAAAATGAAGTGATTGTATGTGTGTCTAACGTATTTAAACTGTACAGTTCGCGTTATTCCTCTTCAAACTATTTAAAAATAGCACTGACATCATTAGTCGACATTCGAACTTGATTTTTACCTTGTTTTTGTATACCGTGGTCACGGACAATGTTAATCTTCTATACAAGTGTGAAGATTGTCTGTCCACTCAAAGATAAATTAAATAAAAAAAAGCTTAAAAAGTATGCAGATTCCCGCTTCACCTTATTGAGTCCGAGCCATGATTTCTTCGGCAGTAGTCATGCATGATTAAATTCGAAATAATCTTCCCAGTATTAAATTTTATTATTTTTCAATACTGATATATAATCAAAAGAGAATATTAATTTTTAATCATTCGATATGATTAAACTGAGTTTAATGTCAAATTGATTAAATTTCAAGCAAAATGGGAATATTTTAATTTATCAGTGTCTAGTTGTGACGAGCCGAGTGATTTGATCTCGCATGTTTGAAATATTGAGGAAGAAGTGAAGAGAATATCTTCTATTTCGACCTCGATCACAGACATGCGAGATCAGATTGCTGCTCAGGATGATAACGCGTTGAAGACCGGTATGGAAGCTATTCGCTTAAATGTAAATGGTACCCTAAAGGAGGCCGTTGACGGACTTAAATAGTTATTAAATGAGAAATTGAAAAATATGACTAGTTCATTTTCGAGAATTATTGCGGACAAGAATTTAGCTGCAATGAATAATGGCAGTGGATCTGGGCCGGTTCCTTCTGAATCGGGTCGAATTTCCCGATAGTAATAGTAAATAGTCATGATGAAGCGAATTCTACCGATGACAACGTTAAAAGTAGTTTCGCGGATGCTTTGAAAAACGAACAAGGGGACGGGAAAAGTAAGGATTGGAATAAAAATCCATTATTGTTGAGTGTGCAACAGGAGCTAATGTAAGTGATGTGAAAAATTGTATTGAAAACAATCTGGGTGAAAACTATAGTGCTGTTGTTCCCACTTCGGTGTCAAGATTGAAAATAGTGATGTGTGTGACGACTTAAAAAGTCAATATGAAGACATCGAGATAAATGATGTCAAAGTTATAAATATGTACGAAAATCCACACTTCTTACTTACAACGTATTTAATGTTGTGTTTGAAGTTGACAAAGAGACTTATAAATGTTTGTTAATGTTGTAGGGTTTGATCGGTGCTCGATAGTTCCCGCGATTAATGTTTTACGATGCTTCAGATGTGGAGAATTTGGGCACAAGAGCACGGATTGCAAAAATTGCGAACGATGCTCTAGATGCAGCAAACAACATAACACATCTATGGGTACGTCAGCTGTATTGAAATGCGTTAATTGTTTAAAAGCTAATAAGGAGCGGATCAAGGGGTAAGTCACTCAGCACATTGTGCCGAAATTAGAATCGGCACAGCTTGAGCTTGAGCACACAACACACTACAGTCAAACAGCACAACATAACGTGCTATTTGACTGTATATTCAGGAACATCCTCTAATTGAATATACCAGAGAAACTCAAACCTGCAGTTCACTTATAGATCTAAATACAAAATGTAGGTTCTAGAGTGGACTTAAGCGAAAAAGCCCATAATCAGACCACATTAATACCCTTAGTTCAAATAACGCTACAACTCACACAAAACAAACTACAGAAGTCTATTCATCATCCTCTATAGTCGGTCTCCAACAATGTTCCCCACCGGTTCCAACTCTTTCCGGCCACTGATAAACCGTTGCTTTCACATCACGAAAGGCTAGGTTTCTGGTCTGTCTTTGAGGGCATTATAAAACCCTAAAACACAGAACTTTTATTATCCTATGAACACACCAAAATTTCGCACACCGACCACTTCCGGCGTCATCCTCAACCCGATTTATCCTTGCGCTTTCAAACCAAAACATCGGGGAAACATGTCAGAAGGGTATAACTTGAAACGTAAACAATGATTTTGAACGTCGATGTCTCTTGAATGACCACACACCCACGGAATCTGACTCCACCAGCTCATAGAACAAACATTTCTCTGTCAGATGATTCAGTTAGTTTGAGTGGGTGCGTTGTCATTCGTAAGAAACCGACGATACAAGTCATTGTTTACGTTTCGAGTTAGAGCCTTCTGACATGTTTCGCCTGACATTCAAGGTGTCAAAATACCGGGTTGCCGGGAAGGGTATTTTACAAACAATCGCAGCTTGCTCTATGACCGGTACAATCGGCACACCTGCGACACACTGACAAAAAAGATGACCCTTAGATTGGTGTGCGGAGTGACGTACCCCTTGAGGATTACAATTAAATCTGACAATAACTCCAGGAGATCTTCAAAAAAAATTCGGAAAGTAATTCCAGGAGAGATTGCCAAACAAATTAAGGAGAGAAATCTAAGGAATTTGTGAGGAGAAATGCAAATGGATTCTTAGGAGACTTTCAATGTGAGTAGAATTCCAAGGGAAGGAGTGAGATTAAAAAAGAAATATGGAATGAATTCAATGAAAATTCGAAGAATTTTTCCATTGGATTTCTTACTGAGGAGAATTTCAAGGCAATTCATAGGAAAATTAAAAGAAAATTGCATTCGGAGGATAGTTGCGAGAAGTATTCTAACCGTATTCTTATGATATTTTTTAGAGAATTCAGAGAAGTGTTCCAAGTGAATTTCTGAAATAATTCCATTAGAGTTTCGGGAGAATACGAGCGAACGATGAGGAGAATTCCAAGCGAATTTTCATAAGAAATCTCCTTTGAATATGTAATGGACTATTGTGAGATCTGCCCCGTAACGTGGGTAGATCATCTTTTCGTGGTACGTTACGGGATGTAAGATGTACCACCGATTTCTAGTCCTGACTACTTCAAACTAGGGGAACAGGATTTTTCAGTAATCCAAGGAACACATCTCAGTCCTTGTTACTTTTTATGCCTTGTTGATAGTGACAAGACTCGGCTTTGTCTACCGAGGATGATCTTAAAACAAGGAAAAAAAAATGAGTTAGCTGTCTTCATCTATGTGATTCCTAATCTTCTATTCGTTGTTCCCTAGTTTGAAGTGGTTAAGACTAGGGTTCTGATGCATGGTCATTATCGGTGTCATACCTTAATTTTGTTGCTAAGGAATCCAATTTTGACTGACAAAGGGGCGCGCCTTTGGAGGGTGTTTCAACACTCCGTAGGGTATAAATAGCGGGACCTTTCAATTAGAGTCGGATCCTTGCGATAAATGAATAGTGATGGAGTGTGAGGTCTTCAGAGCTAGGGGAAAAGTTGGCTTTGGCAATACCTTAACCTATTATCGTCAGGGGGTAAACAAAGTCCTAGAGCACTCAAATTTGGTCAATAGTTGCTCTGAAACACAATGTATCCACATGCCAAAATTGAGCTCTCAAGGACGTTGTTTACCCCCCTGACGATAATAGGTACAAGGTCGTCAACTTCGAATTTTTCAAAAATTAGAACAAAATGGAAGACAAAATATCAAGAAGACTGGCAACTCTTCCATTTTCTCGTACGACCGCTATGATGCAGGTAGAATTGAGTCATCTGCCGCTCAAAGGTAAATACTTCGAACGAATTCGATAGCAAAGATTACATCCTCAGAAGAAATGTTTGTATATTTGCTATTTTTTTCTATGCGTTGCTTCCACCTTCGCTCAAGTGCAGCGTTACTGTATCTGTCGCTTGGATTCTGGCAAAGTTGATATGATGTCTTCAAAAAAATGTAGGCCTATCGTACACACTGCAAAAAGAATGATCAATCTTAAAATAAATTCAAATTAAAAAAATGTTTAAAATAGTTACAGATTACAAGATAAAGTGACTTTAGTGACTTGGCCTTAAAAAAAGAAGACTTTTTAGCGACTTGTTTGCAAAAAAGTGACCAAGTCACTAAAAAGTGACTCGCTAACAGCCCTGCAAATAAGAAAATACAAATCCCACATCCCTACAGCCAGCGAGATCTGGCAAACTCACCTGCGACACCAGTGCCTTGGTTTCCAGGGTTGTACTCTCCTGAATGACGTTCTTGAACTCTTTCGGACTAGATAGCTTGAACTCGGCAGCCGTCGCGAGGTATTCCTGAATCTCCTGCAGACTCTGCTCGGCAATTTCCGCCGAACCGGAGCACTTCTCGATCCGCTGGGTGGCCAACAGCTCGATGCCCCGAGCGCACCATTTGTTTGCCTGCAATCAATTGAAATAAAAATACCATTAGAGCTGATCAAAACTTCGACCACCAACCAACCCGTCCCTACCTTCTCAACCCTCTCCATCAGCTCCCGCGCCTTGATCAGCGTTTCGATCCGCTTCGTCACGCGCTCGTTGATCAGCTCGCAAACCCGGGTCAGTTCGTCGCACTTGGGTTGCACCACCTCCTTCGGACACGAGCTGATGCAGCCCTTGGATCCGATCAGCTTCTGGCCGGTAGCGATCACCTGATCGGCTCGCTCGACGTCCACCGCACAGCTCAGCTGAAATTCTTTGGTTTCCTTGATCAGTTGATCCATCCGGTCCACGGTTTCGCCGATCTCGGTCATGTCCGAAACGGCCGTCAGGTGCCGATCGAAGTTGGCCTGCAGCTCCCGGAAGTCCTGCTCGAATCGGCGCAGCTCCAGGCACTTCCGCAGCCGCGACAGGTGCACCGTCCAGAATTCCTCGAAGTGCCGTTCCGTTTCCTCCAGCTGCACCAAGAGTCTGTGACAATCGCGACTGTCATCAAGATGGTGATGCATAGTATTGTTTGAATAATTCCCTGCACTGGATTTTTTTTTACAAGATTTTTTGCGTATTTTTTTTTTGTTTGGATTTCAGGATGTAGGGAGATAGATAATTTTGAGACAACGCGCGACAACCGGGCGATGATGACCGATGGTTTTTTTTTAATGGTTGGGCACAGAGACAAAGCGGGTGGGATGGTGGTGTGGAGGCGCGGACAGCGGGCGGCGAATGATGAGGATGAGATGAGGACAATGTGAGATCGAATGGAAGATTTGCGTTAGGATTTTTCTTCAGATACTAAATACTACTAAAGAGATAGATTAGGGTATATTTACACATTTGCCTAAACAGTGACGGGAGCGGGGCGTGCGACATCCAACGGGAAACCGGGTCAAACGTGTATCACTTGTGTGTTAGTGTGAGTGAGGTTGGGTGGAGCGGGAGATCATCGAATGAGAAGTGAGTGAGGTTAAAGTGAGTTGCTCGTGAGTGATTTACTGTAGTTTGTGAGTGTTATGCGTGTTCCGTGATCGATCTTTGTGAGAGCGTGTTGAGCTGAGATTGCTGAGTGAGAATTGTGAGTTCGGTGCGTGCGTTGCTCTACTTGTGGTGAGTTGAAATTGGATAAAGCGAAAGTGGCTAAAAATGGGGGAAAACTGAATTTAAAAACATAAATTTATGACCATTCCAATACCAACGAGTGCAACCATTCGAAGGATGAAACTTTTGATTTTTAATGTACAGCAAGTTGCATGTTCATAGACTAATTTCTTAATATTGTTTCCAAATTGTGAAATGTCCCCACTTGTTTGAGTAACTAGATAAATATAAAAAATCGAAGCCTCTGAATTTATATTTTTTCCTAAATCTTAAATCTTGATTTTTTGTTCTGTGTTTATGATCTAGAAATTGTTTACGGAAGAATTGAATTCCCTTATAATTTGCCCCGTAACACTCTTTAAAATCTTCTTCAGAAGTGTTCCATAGTAACCACATGAAACGAAGATCTTAGAAGCCATGATAATCAAGCTATTTGACACAACTATTTTCTACATTGATTAATGTTCTGACCTCCGAAGTATATAGACCTAATTAACTAACAACCAGTATTGTATTGAAGTCTGTAACATCTGGCGACGAGGACAAGTTCGAGTCACTACAAGTCGATCCAGATTAAGTCATTTGAAGATGCCCAACCAGGATTTGAGGGACGCAATTCTTCGGCTCACCGAGCTGGTAGCCAGTCAACAAGAACAGATCCAACGCATCAACCGGGCCGGTCAAGTCAACCAACCGGGAAGCGAGAAGATCATCGAATCGTTGGCCACGGGAATTGAAGGTTTCTACTACGATCCTAACGGTGGAGTATTCTTTGACGTTTGGTCACTCCGGTGGCAGAAACGTGATCCACCAACATTTTGCTTGAAGCCAAAGTTGTTGGTTCTTTGGCTCGATTATCTGCCAATCGAAGACAGCTGATGCAAACATTGAGAAATTATGCTCCGTCCAGTGCTGTAAATTCTCAAAATCATTTGAACATTTTTGATGAAAATGAGAAAAGTAGCTATTCGCTATCAAAGGGGACCTCCTCCGAATGGGTGATATCAGTTGCTTAGTCATTTGACGAAGGCATGGATCATTCTCATTTGAGAAACGCTATATATCATTCGATTGAGTGTAACCTACACACAAACGGAGCTCTGGTCGACATTCCGGCGAAAAAGCTAAGCCAACCCGACACCAACCTGACTTCTATCAAACCCCAACCCGATGTTGACCCGACATTGACCCGACATAAACCCAAAATTGACCCGACATTAACACGACATTGGGTCGACATCGACCTTCAATTAGCCTTACATTGATCCGACATCGGGTCGACTTGTCTGTTCGGGACCATTTTACTGGATTTCTTCCATACTCCACTGTCGTATATCAAATGATACTGAGTGACTCAATTGACAGTGACAATGAGCTTCGAATGAGAAAGGGGCTCTTCAAATTATGGTCATGTGAGAATTCGTTTACACAGAATTGATTGAATGGTTGTAGTGGTTCATCTTCAATCGAATGATATGAAAATTTACAGCACTGGCTCCGTCTACATTGATGTTTGATTTGTTGCACGGCAAAATAATCGTGATAAATGTTCAACAAAGCCTTACATGTAGGAATTAAATATTAATTATATTTTTTTTAAATTAGGCAAGCTAACCATGAAAAATTCAAGTTTCATTATTCACATAAGATTTTTTAACGCATACGTGTCGTTAATGCACATATAAACATAGCATAAAAACTGTAGGCTATACAGTGTGTTACGATGTAAACAAATTCTGCTTATTTCTTGCACTTGTTCATTTAAATTAGCAAACCAGAGAAACATTAGCTTTAAGTGCCGAAGAATTAGTACAAATTTGTCATCAGTACGCTCGTACGCACGCGTCGACCAAACGCCAAGTCAAAATACTCCACCGCAAAAGGCCTTTTGTAAGGCAACGCTGCAAACGAACGCAACGAAAGAGCGAAAAGATTGCACTCACACGGACGCATCAAACAGACAAAAGCGAGCAAGGGCAGCAGCGAGATCGGATGCTTTTGCATCGTCATTCTTATTCTCCAGTGTACGGTGGATTCACGCGCTTGGTGTGTTTTGTGAAAAGTGACGGGAAGTTGACCAGCAGCCATACTCGTAGAAGAGCTAGTCTGGCGTTTTGGATTTCGGCTTACGGGGAAGCAACACGTTCCGTAGGAACGAGCGAAAGAACCGTCAAGGGACTAGGCCAAACGTTGGAAATCACACGACACAGTCAACCTTGCTTTTAAGAGCAGTTCGGCCAGAGGAAAAACGACCGGTGACTCGGATTGCAACGTGGGTGGTGGCAACTATAGTCGCTATATTCATAGTCTGGCGGATAGAATCTCGGGAACCAATTGAACTGTCAAATATCGAAACCAATCGAGCAAATCACAACCAACAACAGAAAAGAGCACATCAGCTATTGCGAACAAAACTTCGGAAACCGTTTTCTCGTCGTTCAAGGCTTGCCTACGCAAACTAACACTATCTTTGCGTTGGGGAAAGATTCCCCTATCTGGTGATGCCGGTAATTTGCGTTAGATTGTCGAGGAAAGAATAATCAAAGTTTTGTTTATGAATGTTGATAGGACCTTTTCAATTGTTGGTCTACAATATATTGAATTGGTTCCGCTCTTTGGTAGATCGAAATTCTATCCGCCAGACTATGAATATAGCGACTATAGTGGCAACCCGTTCCACAGGTGAGTTCCACACGAATTCCACTTCCACCTGCTCAGCAGTAACGTTCCGGTACATTCCATAGAGGCAAGCGGAAGTACCGTCACCCGACGAAGTCAAACGATCGGTGTTCTACCAACCGCACTAGGAGGAATTGCACGACAGCCGAACACGCCAAGAACGGACTCGAAGCACACACGTGTGGAAGCAGTACGATCCGTAAGTGAGCTAGGGATAAACTCCATTCTTCATTCATTTGACGCTAATGTCATGATGCTTTCCATAGGATCGCACCAAAGCATCGTTACTGGACGAAATCATACGACCGACATTACCCGTGTTAGATCGCCGGCTAGCAGCCTTGCTTGGTGGTGACAAGTAGAAAGGCTACACGGACACGAAGAAAACCCCATCAAAGGGTAAGCATCATCGATCTGGACGGCCAATTGTCAGGAACTAATCAGCTGTTCCATCGCAGGGTCTTATTGCAGCATTCTCAGGTAGATACGAGTGTTTCAAGGGCCCGCAGACGTCGTCGGCCAACATCGCCGAAGCAGGGAGTCAACTGCTCGCCAAGGCGGTGATTGACGGAAGCAGAGTGCTCATTGGGTTCCATAGGCAAGCGCCAACTTCGCGTGGCCGCACGGACGGCGTACCCAGGAAGCACTCACGTGCGGCAGGAAGACTTGGCCGGTGCCAGTAGGAGCAGGCCGACAAGTGAACGAGCGTCGACGGGATGCTTGATCGGGTGACATTCTTGGTCGGTCGATGACGTAGCCGAAACAACAACGAGTCATGGGTCCGTGTGCGTGAGTAGACGTATTTAGCCATTAAGCAAACCCAAAATCTGTTAGTCGCATAAGCACAAGGGAACCAGATAGGAGAATGATTTAGACTCTGGGATGCCCGTGTGGGAAGGCACGATGAGAATATAGCAATGATTCGCAAGTAAATTGAATGGTTTAGTTTGTTTCTTTGGTTGGAGCTTAGCCCTCCAGTGATTGTCACTTTCGCCAATGGTAGTCCGCTCTTCTGGCTAGCAGGATGAATGCAACAAGTGCTGACACCAACAATGGTGGTGGCTTCAGCAACCCTCCTTCTTGGCAGAGGATTGCGTTTGGAACGCCCGCTACGAAGATTTTTTCAAGATCGACGACAAGAATCTGGACGACCCCACGAAGGTGAGGCTACTCTTGAGGAACATTGTAACGTCAATAGTATCCTACCAAATCATCAACGCGATTTTGTTCTGGACGAAACGGTGAAGAACTCAATAAGATTTCCCGACGGCAAGACCTCCCTTTTCAACGATCGATTCCTGTGCCTTCAATACATGAAGAACGATGTTGACGATTTTTCAAGCTTTGCTGCCTCCGTGAATAAACACTGGGAAGCGTTTCAGCTCTCCAAGTTATCCGACGACCAGTGCAAGGCACTACGTTTTGTTTGTGGTCTACAATCTCCGCAAGATGCACCGATTAATCGCTAAGTTGGAAGCTGAAGAGAATGCTCCGCCGGCGGAAGATTCGAAGCTCACCTTGGAAAGTCTCGTCGAAGAGTGCCATCGGTTCAACAACTTCAAGCAGGACACCAAAATGATAGAGAAATCCGTCGTTTATGCCGTTTCAATGAAGCCTCCCAAGAAAAAGAAGCCGAAGTTCACATGCTTCTGTGAAGGAATATCCCTATCAAGACAACAACTGCAACAAGTGCAAACGCAAGGGACATAAAG